CATGCTGCTACTCTGTTTGCTGCCTTGTACTCTCTGCCTGATTGAATGATAGGTTTTCTGCTCCTTTCTGTATGTCACTTGTGCTGCCTGTCCCCTCTCTGATTTGATGCATGCCACTTGTACTTCTCTACTTGGCTACCTCTAGTCCAAAGCTCATATAAAGATATCCAAGATAGCTTTAATCTACCCCATTTGTAATGACAGGAGTTACACTATCATGGCACTTCAATATATATCTAGGGCCTGGGTTTTTTCAGCCTGCGCAGCTACCCTGCTACTGGTGCTCCTGCTGGCTCAACTACATCTGCTTGTGTTGTAGTAGCACCCTGTAATTATAGTCACAACCTCAATTTGGAGGAGATCGCAGTCACCCTACATTGTCACTTGACTGAACAGTGCATAAATAAAGGTCTACACACTTACCAGCACCTGTTTGGCTCGTTCCACCTCCCATTTCAAACTGGATCTGATCTCACTGACCGTTACATACCCCTTTTTCTGAAATAAAGAAGAGAAAGAGGGAGTCGGAGCCTGTTCATGTCAAGGCAGCTGTTTAAAGACCGAACAAGCTCCTCACTATCTGCTAATGATCAGGACTTCAGAGTCCATAGTTGGAGACACTGGCTATATATCCAAATACTCTTTATTTTCCACACACGTTGAAGCCCTTGATTTTTGTTCAGGTTATAATTTAGATTCTTTATACATCTGTTTCCTGTCAAGGGAACCATATGGCCTTATAGGAGGTTTCTGCTAAAGAATCCCTTGCCCCCAATACCTCTGCCAGCTGCAGAACCACTGTATGATCCATGTTCAGTTCAGCTGGCACAGACTGGATTAGGTATGTTCCTCCAACAGGAATAATCCCAAAGCCACTGCCCAGAACTTTCAGCTTCTTGATTGCACGAATGAGATCATCCCTGAGAACAGGGAAGAGAAAATAAGATTTGAAAGAAAGCCTTTTGCTCTTCAGCTGAGCTCGATGCCAATATACCATATTTACTCAAATATAAGATGACCCCTCCACCCATCATAAGATTTGCCTTGAAGTTTTGAAGTTGTCTCCCTCCCACTGTAACAACAGAGAAAATAAATCTGGGGAGGGGCAACTCCTTCCCCTCTGCCTTCCCTCCCACCCCACAAATTTTCCCCTGCAGCCCCTTCCCTTCCTCTGTCATCAGATCCTGCTGTCCTTGAGCACATGAAAGTGAGGAACAAATCTAAAAACACCAACTTTGAAATAAACAGCTGTAGCAATTTGCACATAGTATACCCACAGATTTAGTTCCTTTAGAATTGATGCATGTTGCCTTTTTTGAAACTGCTGCAAATGTTATCACAGATACTCCATAAACAAACTTTTAAGCAACACTGGAATATATACAGTACAAACTATGCTTTTTTTTTTGCAAAAATATTTATTCCCATATATATTGCAGTACTTGGCCCAGTCCACTTCCCTTCCTTTTTCTTTCCCTTCCTTCTGCTGGCCTCGCTGCTGCAGCTACTTCCCTAGCTGCAGCTGTGAGCCCTACAGGCAGCAGCACAGGGGTGAGGAGAGGGGTCTTGACTGGCCTAGGGCCCACTAAAAGGTTCATCTGGCCCTGGGCAGAAGTGATATGAAAGGGTTCTGTGACTTTAAGAAGTTTGAAAACCACAGCTCTAAGGAAAGGTAAGGGGTGCGTAAGGCATCTTATGGATGTGTAGATGTAAATTCAAGGCTTGCACCAAAGGTGGCCCATTATACACCCAACACTAATGCATACCTGGTTACTACAGCTGTGCAAAGCTTTGGTCCCTGATTTGATTCTGCGGAGATTCAGCCCAATTTGGTGGCTGAATCTCCAAATGCAAATCGGGAGACCCTCTAGTCTATCTGAATTGAATTGAAACCGTCTGAATCTATTTGGAGAGATTCAGACAGACGGCTTTAAATGTTTTTTCTACATACCTCTAGGTAGCAGGCAGCTTGTGAATGTTGCGATGGTGGGGCAGATGAAGCATTCCACAGGAGCGCAGAGGGCTCCTCAGTGTGCTTGGCAGCAGCCCCAGAAGTGGACCAGAAGCACTTCCGGTTCGTTTCCAGGTCCGCTGGGGAGCACACTAGGCGCCCCCCCGGCAACTGGTGCCTCCTGGGTCGGGGGGAGGGAAGGCACCCTGGGTCCCCCCATGGCTGATTGCTCAGGGTGGGGAAGGTGTTCAACCTTTTAGGCAGGGGTGCCATGAATTAGCTTTGCACCCTCCCCAAATGCCACTCTGCCCTCTTTCC